AGGCCTGGGCTCCCATGGTAGTCCACTGGTTGGAAGAGGCAGTCCTGTGCTGGAGGCTGGGCTAGGGCAGGTGCCTGCTGGTGGAGGGGTGGACCCTGGCCTACTGTGAGCCTGGGTCCATGTAGGCTGATGTGGGTGAATCTGGGCCGCAGGGCCTGACCTCCCATGGTAGTCTGGTGGCCAGAAGGGTGGTTCTGTGCCAGAGGCTAGGCTCTAGTGGGTGTCTGCCCCATGGATGAAGGGATAGATCTGGGCCTACTGTGAGCCTGGGTCCCACATGGCTGGTGTGGGCAGTCTGGTCTGGGCCTGGGCTCCCCTGGTAGTCTGCTGCTCCCCCTTGATTCTTACTGAATAGTAATTTCCTTAATGAATTATAGGAAAGGGGAAACAGTGCGATCATTTTACAGATAGGAAAACTGAGACCCAGGGGGGCCAAATTTTGCTGAGATCATGCTGGTAGCCAAAACAAACCTGGGACAGGAACCCAGAGCTGAGTTTCTGTCCACCACAGGGACAGGAAACGACAACACTACAGGAAATGGAAATACAGGGAACAGTAAAAATCCCAGGTCTTCATTACTATGGTCAAGGCCAGAGCCAGCATCTGCAGAGCAGGAAGAGTTTAGTTGACCTCTGCTGCCACCAAGTGGTGATTCTGCAATGTGTCAGCCAAGGAAGCTATTCTCAGCCTTTGGGTGACAGGTTTTTTTATTGTTGTTTTGTAGGACAGTGGTTCTCAAAGGGGACCACGAGGTTAAAACAGTGTTTGTAAAATCCTGAGATGTTACCTTTTTTCACTGGATTCCCTCATGAACATACATGGAATTTTCCAAAGTCTATTGACCTCACAGAGACTGAAAGCAGAAGCTGATAGTGGACTTCAGCTGCCTTCTATTTAAGCCAGACATTCAAAAATAGAAAACCATGCAAACCTTCTCATTATATTTGCTTGGAAGGAATATTTTCCCAAATTCTTTTATTCATATTGACATGTAATAGGTTATTTATTATACTTTAAATGAATAAATATTTCTTAAATTTACAATTTTTGTTTCTGGTAAATATTGATAGATAAGCAGAACTTCTTTGAGGTCTTCAGTAATTTCTAAGAGTGGAAAGATCCCTGTTGAGATCACTGCTGTAGAATGGTGAATGCTATTCCCAGTAAAGCTCCCTGGCCAAGGCAGAAGCCCTTCAACTCCTGGACAAGACACCAAAACTGGCGCCTCACTTGAAATTCTGCTGTTTCTAGCCTTTCTGTAAAGCACATGTCATTTGTTTAAAGACATTCCAGATGATGGCACAGAAATCAATACCCGACACTGATACTGGTCTTGGAAATCAGGATTGGGTCCTTATTCCCCCAGCGTTGAAGATTAAACACCCGAGAAACGCCAAGTCAAGAGTAGAAAGCAAGCTGGGTTCGGTGGTGCATGCCTGTAATCTCAGCGGTTTGGGAGGCTGAGGCAGGAGGATTAAGAGTTCAAAGCCAGCCTCAGCAAAAAACCAAGCACTTAGCAATTCAGTGAGATCCTGTCTCTAAATAAAAATACAAAATAGACTTGGGGAGTGCCAGGAGTTCACTCCCCTGTACCCAAAACAAAACAAAACAAAAACAACAAAAAGAGAGACAGCCCAGAGATAGCAGACCTCTGGAGAGAAGTGGAGGCCCAGAGCTAGGTGTTGTGGGAGGGAGTAGTCTTATCTCTTTTATAGATCTCAGATTTCCTCTTCCCCCTCCACACCTCCACTTTCTACCCTTTTTACTTGCCCAAGGGCAGGAAAGAGCCTAGCAGGAGGGTGATCATTAGCTACTTCAGTTTAGGGAGGAACAACTCCCTAGAGGTGTTAGCAGCTGGTTGAGGGGTGGGTGCTCTGCAGGTATTAGCAACCCTGTTTCCTTTTCTTAAATAATCAGCCCTCCTCTTTCCTAACTGAGCATTTACTGTCTACTTGCAGTCCTTTGCCCCTATCTGAATACTAAGCTTCCTGAGGTCAGGGTCCTTGATGTTGTCACCCCATGTCTATGGCAGCTCTGGGCTGCGGACTCAAACATTTTTTTTTTTTAAGAGAAAGAGGTGCTGATATGTTGATTAAGAAAAAGACTTATGTTGTTGACCCTATGTGTTCCACAAGATCACCTGCTCACAATAAGGGATGGGGAGGGAAGAATAGGAGTTCACTGGATTAGATAAAGGGGAATGAAAGGAAAGGAGTGCGATGGAAATAGGAAAGACAGGAGAATGAATCGAATACAACTTTACTATGTTCATATATGAATACACAACCAGTGTAACGCCACATCACGTCCAACCACAAGAATGGGAATATTCCATGTATGTATGTCAAAATACACTCTGCTGTCATGTAAAATGAAAAAGAACAAACAATTTTTTTTTAGCAAAAAAATCACCTTCTCCAGAAAATTCTAAGAGGAAGCAGAGGCCACTGCTGGCTGACCCCTCCTCCCAGTGACTGGCTATCTTGAGATTGTCTACGTTGGGAGACCATTCTAGAAGGACCATTCTGATGGCATTTATGGAAGACCTATGACTTTTTGTGGAGGAAGGGGAACAGGAACATGTATTGGAAGTGGTGTCTGACCAGCATGGGGAGGGGGCAGAGGTGACAAAGGGCTGTCACTCAGAGCCTTGCTAGGGGTGGGCAGTGTGGCATAACCGGTTGGGGACCTGAGAAAAAAGTACCAGCATGCACTGTGCAAAAAGATGTGCTTTAATCTAAAAAAAATATAACACAATATAAGCTCACTGTAAGAACTGAGACACTTACTGATGTACAAAGAGACGATTATCAAAGTAGAAATTGACAAGCTTTCCCCAGTTCCACATCCCAGAATTAGCCACTGTTAAACTTGGTGCATATCCTTCTGGACTCTTCATTGTCCATGTAGTTGTGCGTTTACAATTCATATTGTAAAAAGAAAATGAGTAACATGCACTTATTCTGCCCCTTCCCTTCCATGTTTGTTACATTGCTGACACAATATTTCCATTACAATATGTGTAAGATCTATCTCATTCTGTGTGACTGTGTGAGACTTGCCTGGAGTATGGCTGCATCTCCATTGATTTAAATCCCCCTATCAGTTGGGCATCTAGATCTCTAAATTTCCATTATTACAGACAATTCTCCATGAATTACGATGTTCCATGGTTTGCCCATAAATCTGTGCTTCCTGCATTTTGAACACTATTGATAATTGTTGGTTCACAAGTGTGCAGATAAGGAAGACTGTGGCCCACCTCTCAAATGGGCACACAGGGGTGACTCTAGCACAGGTTGGTGTATCATACCACTGGGGTTATATGGATACCAGGGACAAGGAAGCTGCTGGAGGGGAGAGGAAGAAACCTGGAAGCCCTAGGTGGTATACCTTAGCTGGGTCTGGAATGCAGACTCTCCTGTCCCTGGAGATGATGGGGGTGAGGGTGTTAAGGCCAGAGAAAAGCACAGAGGCAGGGGGGTCTGGAGGGTGGATGGCAGACACAGCTGTCCAGAGGGTCTGTTGGCCACTCAGTCATTCCTTTAACAAACAATCTAGTGCCCTTATGCTCCTGATACTGATTGGGATGGGAAAATGACTGGAGCACAGGAAACCTGGAACAGAGCAATGAAAGAGGAATCTAGAAGAGCCATTCTGATGGCATTTATGGGAGACGTCAATAGAAATTCTTGAGACTCCATACTTAGGTGTCCCAACAACTTTCTCTTTTTTCCACTGAAATAATCATCACCATTTCTGCTGGTGATGTTCCCCAGGCTGGACAGCAGGGACGGTGAGACCTCGGGAGGATTGTCAAGAGGGATTAGTGGCCCAGGTCCTCAGCAGGTGTTCAGGGACAATTGGAGTCTGTTTTCTGCATCTGTGAGCTGGGTCAGCGGTGATGCTCTCATTACCTCCTATTATTTGAGGAGCACCAAGATGACATGGACAATCTGAGGAGGGTCTGGTCACCTGAATAAGGCTGTTGAATCGCAGACTCATCAGGGTGTCCAGTAAAAGACCCCGGATGATCTTGTGAACCCAACACCGCTTCCAATTAATCTGAGCAACTAGAACTAGCACCAGGACATGGTCTAGTTGAGGAGGACCAGGGGTGGCGCAGAATAGAGACAGAGGAGCACAAGCTGAGGGGCTCCTCCCAAAGGGAGAACCTTCTGCTGGGCAAGAGGATGCTGCTGGACAGACTTAACACTTTCCACTCCCTTGTGTGCAGTCATGCTTCATTTTGGGTCTGGTGTTGGAGATTTTCAGAGGCATGATCCAAATCACCAAAAGGCAAGGTGGTGGTGAGTGGGACCAGGTTAGTGGAGAAACCAAGGGAGACTCTTCTAAGGGAGTTTTTAAAAAGGAATTCAGGGATATTCCCTTGTCTTGAATTTAAGCCAAGGATGGCAAGTGGATCTATCTTACATTCCAGTTCCGACTGATTGGTGGTGGCTGCACGGTATTGAGGATCCTCTCTCAGCTCAGTGAGAAAGGGCTCTCTGCTGGACGAGGTTTGCCTACCTCAGACACAGAATTGGGAGTGACATCATGGATATGCCACTTCAATAGCAAAAGAGCCAGGTCTCCCATGTGCTTCTAATAGGAAATAAAACACAGAACAGTGAAATCATTCTGGAAACCAGAGTGTTGACAAAGCGTTTTGTTTTGTTTTTTTTCTCCAGGTGAAAATCAGAGAACACCCACCCCCTGAGTTCAGGGTCACCATCTCTGGATCCTTAAGGTGCAGGCTGGGGAACACCTACCTGTCTTTCTCTCCATGGCCCTTTTCAACCACGGTGGACTTCACTGCTGACCTCAGGAACCTTGGGGAACAGGAGCCAGACAGCCATCCCTAGTTCCTCGACTTACTTGTGTGGAGCAGGTGTCTCTCTGGGCCATGCCATCTCCAGGGGCCTGAAGAGACTCAGGAATGAGGGTAGCTGGTGCCTCTTGGAAGTCAGCCAGAGGCATCTGACACAGAAACAACCTGAAGAGGTTTTTAATGCTTTTATTTGAAAACCTAGAGTCAATTCCAGCTCCTCCATGTGAATCCCCAATGAGTTTATGACAGTCGCGAGGGCAGGGTTTATTTGGCCCTGACTTTTTACCATGCACTGATCTGGAGCTGATATAGATGGTCACTGCTTGGTCCATGGTCCATTGGTTTCTTCCAAAGCAACAGCTTAGGGCTCCAGGCTGGGGTGAGGGGCAGAGAGCCTGTAGTCATGAAGGAAGGCATCTCGAGGCCAGTGCACTGGCTGGAGGCCCAACTGGCACAGAGCCTGCATGGCCAGGGTCCTGATTTCTCTCCAGTAAATTTACTCTTGCTGGTTTGGCAGATGCTGCCAGTCCCAACATGCAGTGGAATGAGACCCTGGTCAGATGACACCAGTCCTGGGAGAAAAGGAGGAAAGATAAGAACATTATCTTTTAAGGCTGTCATCTTGGATCTTGGGGTCTAACAACCCTCTCAGAGAGTTCTTGTGACTACTCATGGAACAGCAATGGGCCAAGCCTCACCATGAAAACACATGTACGTGGCTGAAGGACGGGGGCGGGGGCCGTCTGGGGTTATATGTAAATGTTTTTAAAAAGATATTACAGAAAGAATGTGTCTCCTTTCCTTGGATATGAATTTTCCTGAAATTGAAAGTAGGCCGCTGAGGTTTGGAGCATGCATGTCAAGCAAAGAACAGATCAGCATTATTCCAGGAAGGTTCAAGGTACTGAGAGATGGGCAGGGATGCCCAGTTGGACTCAGAGACCTCAGAAAAGCCATTCACTGGCTGCTGGCCAGCGAATGGGAGCCCCATCTTGACTGCCAAATGTCTTTCTTGAATTGTCTGTTGACTCTGGTGTCTCCATGTAAAAGATAAAAGTAAAATCCATCACAAAACAGAAACCTCACATACTGTTTATTGGGTTTTATGTTGTCCCTGGGTCACTCCTTGTACCTGAGAGGGAAATAAGACAGGGAACAAATGGCAAAAAGTATTTTTCCTCCCTGAGAATGGAGATGTTGGGTCCTCTATCCCTGGCAGGCACTTAGAAACGATCTCCAGATGAGTCCTGCACCTGTACCCAAGGGACTCTTGAGACAGTCACTGTCCCACCACTGAGGAACTGCAGGGCTGCCTGGTCCTGTAATAGCCGTCATCTTGTTCTGTCCAAAGGGTGTTCTAGCTGCCTGGAAATGACCTGCCTGAAATCTTGGAGCTACTTGGTAAATTAAAATTTAGGTCTTGGTAGAAGGCCTTGGTATTCTTGGGTCTTGTTTAGAACACAAAGCTGAACACCTTGAGCAAGGTTGGTTCAAAATGAGGCTCCAGACCGGATGCTGGGAGCCTCCTCCCCGTCCCTCGCTGGCCTCTTTCCTAAGGGATGCAGATGTCCAAGGCCCTTGCAGAGGAGAGCACTTTCAGAAAGAAAAGCTTCCAATTGGGTTGGGCACTGCTCTGAAAGGCCAAATCCAGGGCGGTCGTGACTTGGCTCACTAGAAACTTCCTCCTTCCTCCTGAAGTCACTGATCACCAGGACAGTCACCGTGGCATAGTCTGACAGCTTGGGCAAGCATCCAGCCACTCTGGGATCCGCGAGGCTGGCATTAAACCTATTTTGTAGCTGAAGATTTGATGACATGGAAAAATAGTCCTGAACTATCAGACAGGAAGAGTGAGTTATAAAACGCTGTGTAAAGTACAATCGGAACGTGGGGAGACACATTAAGAACGCTTGGGAGAATACTAACAAGTTCCTGTGGTGGCAGGTATTTTTATCTTGCACTTCCACTTTATTTGGATTTTCCATCTTTTCTACAGTAAAAATATGTTGATCTTCTTATAGAATTTTGAATAGTTACCTTTACCCGTTAAAGGTGTGTGTGTGTGGGGGGGTGGCTGATATCTGAACACATCTTTAAGTAAACATGACAATGTCCCTGCCCCACCCTGCCCTGGACATTATCCAAATGCAATAACTCTTCACCAAGATGTTTAGTTATGCAAAATGTGTTACTACCCTTTTCCTTTTATTTCCAAAAAAAAAAAAGGAGCAAAAAGCCAGAAGATCTGTGAATGTCAGTCCTTTAGTAAAAATTGGAAGCAGTTTATTTAAAGTCAGCTCCCAGGGCTGGTCCTGGAAGTTTTCTAGAATTCTCTGATGCAGACCCTCTTGAGAGAGTTTTTAGTCATGGCTGCTGGGAGGCCATCTGTGGAGCTCTGTGGGAGGCCCTAGTAGTACGGGTGGGCAGTGTCCTGGGGCCTTCACCTGGCTGGGAACGGGGCAGCAGTCAGGCAGGTGGAACGCACCCGGGTAGCATGGGGTGTCTACAACAGGCACCCCTCGTCCTAGCTGAGAAATCAGGCAGGCATCCTGGGGGAGGAGATTTCTATACCTGGGGCTGCTGGACAAAGACCTGATGAAGCCAAGACGAGGGGGAAGGAGGGAGAAGAGGGAGTCGGGCAGAAGAGGGAGTCGGGCAGAAGGCGCAGCCTGAGCAAGACTTAGAGGTGAGGACAAGATGGAATGTTCAGGAAGGTGTGAGATTTGAGGCTGGAGAAGGGCAGGGTGAAAGATGGGCTCTGTCTAAAGGGCAGGGGGAAGCTACTGAGGGCATTTGAGCAAAGGAGTCACCTGCTCAGATTTGTTTTTAGAAAATCCCTCAGGTTCTGTGATCTTTCAAAAGCGGGGAGTACAGGAGGCCAGGAATGGTGGCAGAAGCCTGTCCTCTAGGGCCGCAGGAGCTTATGGGAGGCTCTCACACTGAGGCTCTGAAGTTCAACAGGGAGGTGGGGAGGTGGTGCCCTTTGAGCAGGGAGTGGAGGCCTTGTTGGGAGTCCTCCCTTCTGAGCCTGGTCACAGAAGAGCTCACTGCACTTCTCTCGAGGGCTGTGGGATGGGAACAAGGGGAGGCGAACTGGCCACACCAGGGAAGTTCTGTGTCTACCCCCGTCGCTGAGGACTCAGCACACTGCCAGTCCACAGGTGACAGGAAAAACAAATTCAGAAGGCCACAGCACTTTCCCAATGAAGAGAGGAGTTTCATACTCACAACTGGCTGGGAGGGAAGCACAATGACCTGGCCCTCACGGGCTCGTCACAGCCTGGTCCCCGCGCAGGGCCTGCAGCGAGAGCTCATACCCAAGGAACATGGCGGCGCTCATGGGGAAGCCTCGCACAGC